GGGGAGGAGGCACATTTACTTGTAGATTTTGGAGATTAAATGTCCCAAGTAGTAAATAGCTCAGAAGGTGTCATGAAGAGACAATACCAACAGGAACCCAATAGAACCATGGCAATGAGTAATCATCCTGATTAAGTTTACTGGGGTACATTAAATAACTACTCTTAAAATACAATTAGGTGAAGTGACAGCACTCTACTTCAGAGCAGTCAAATTAGCCTTTTACCAGAAAAGATAATAAAAGAGTTCAAACTGTCAAAGTTAAAAACCTAATTTAAAACTTGTTCAATTCTAAAGAAGATTCTATGACCTTATAGATACAATGTTCCAAAGGATGCTATGAGACTGCTGGGGGGCCTCCCAAATGTTCCAGAAAAGACAAACCTGCAAACAATGCTACTTTCTACCTTATTCTTTTAGAACTGATCTTTCAGCCATCTCTGCACCCTGCAGAACACTGCTGCTTTCTTAAAATCTGCTCTTTTAAAACCGTCCACAGCTTGTTGCCCGGGACGGCTTCATTGATTTCTAACTCTCAGGACGCCTGCCAACCTGCGATCTCAGAGGTCATGCGTATTTTTAATAGCGTTTCAGGTGTCATTTGTGCATTTGTTTTTACATCTCTGAAAACCTCCCAAAGGAGCCCTGGTGGTGCAGTGGTTAAAGCACTCGGCTGCCAACCAAAAGGTCGGCAGTTCAAACCCAGCAGCCACTCCTCGGGAGAAAGATGTGGCAGTCTGCTTCCGTAAAGATTATAGCCTTGGAAACCCTATGGGGCAGTTCTCTCTCTGTCCTATAGGGGCCCTATGGGTCAGCATCGACTCAACGGCAGTGGGTTTGGTTTTAGTGGGTTTTTGGTTTATAACGTGATGGCTAATTTTATGTTTCAACTTGGTGTCAGTTGTTTGGTTAAACACTAGTCTAGACTCTGTTATGAAGTAGTTCCCCGTAATTAAATCAGATGGCCTTTAAAAAAAAGAAGATTACCCTCCATCACGTGGGTGGGCCTCGTCCAATCAGTTGAAGGCCTTGGAGCAAAAAAAAGGAGAATCTGCATCTGAATCTGCATTTGAGTAAGATCTCCAGGTGTTTCGTATGCACGTTAAAGTCTGAGATGCACTACTTTAAATCAAAGAAAAATTAAGCTAATAGTTTGGTAAACTGGTTATGGGTTATAAGGTCATATTTTGGTGACATAAAAATTTCATTAAAATTCGTTTTAAAAAATACAAGCAAATACCCATTTGACAACCTTTACATTGAATCTGAATTAACTCCCCAGCAACTGGTACATTTAAGTATAAATACTACTGTCTTCATACCCTTTAACACTGTATAACAAATTGGGTCAAAATTAGCTAATGTCTTGAAAAGTTACCATGGATAGGCTTTACCAGGGCAAGGCCATGATCTGCCTAGTCCATGACCCCAGTTCCTTCCCTGAATCTACCCCTGCCCAAGTGAAGGGTAGGAGTTCCTGTCCCAGCTCCTGACCGACGCACAAGGACCAGTTTACAAACCTCTAATCCTTGGTGACTACAACCATATGTTTCACAGTGAACTTGTGACACAGGAAAGGAAGAAGTAGGTCAGCAGAGAGAAACCCGAGAACTTTGGATGCCGCCCATTCTTGACCTAAGTCTAAACCCAATTCTTTACATCTTGCTTACTTTTCTAATAATTTGAACCAGGCAATGTCTACGCTAAGGAGCCCTAGTGACGCAGTAGTTAAGCACTCAGCTGCTAACTGAAAGGTCAGCAGTTCGAAACCACCCAGTGGCTTCACGGGAGAAAGATGTGGCAGTCATCTCCTGTAAAGACCGCAGCCTTGGAAACCCTATGGGGCAGTCTGAATCTGTCATACAGGGTCAATATGAGTTGGAATCGACTTGATGGCCCACAATAACAACGTCTACACCGACCATCAAGCTGCAGATACTCATTATACAGGTAGTCCCTAACTTATGACACTCGAGTTACGATGAACCACTCTTGTGACCTTTTTTTTTGGGGGGGGTGCATCTTACCGTTAGTAATACGTACTACATACAATGTTGAGTGCGTAACTTGGTGATGTTATCATTCTCAGATATTCACTCACAGACATTCAATGTTATGATTTGTAAAGGTACTAATCATAAAAACCAAACCAAACCAAACTCGTTGCTGTGGAATCGATTCCGACTCATAGTGAAAGAAGTTGGTCTGAAAGGGCTACATACTACATGATTCCAACTGTATGACATTCTGGAAAATGCAAAATTATACAGACAGTAAAAGAGAGTGGTTGTCAGGGGGTCAGGGTGAGGGAGGAAGAATGATTAGGTGGAGCACAGGGTACTTTTAGGGCGGTAAAAAAGTTCTACATGATACTGTAACAGTGGACATGTGACATTATGTATTTGTCTAAACCTATAGGATTGTACAACAGAAAGCATGAACCCTAATGCCAACTACAGACTTCAGTTAATAATGATGTATCAATATTCATTCATCAATTGTAACAAATGCACCACACACACAAACAAACAAATGCAAGATATTAATAATCAGAGGAACAGTGTGCAGGGGAAGTATACCGCAACTCTCTGTACTTTCCGTTCAATTTTTCTATAAACACACTAAAACTGCTGTAAAAAACAAAGTCTGTTAAAAAAAATACGTATGTGTGTAAATGTGTACAAAAAAAGAATTCCATTAAAAATTGGTTTGACAGTGCTTTCAGGAACACAGTATGTCAAATGAGGTACGATTTTTAAATAGCATTTTCCCTTCTTATGTCATACTGAGAAATATACACAGACTCTGAAAGGAAGTGAATTCTCACCTGGGGAAAGAAAAAGAAAGACAGAATGACAGCAAGACAGAAAATGCTGGCCAGCCCTGCAAGGGAACTTCAAATTTAAGCAGCCCGCTCCCATTACTGTTTAGTAAGCAGAGAGAAAGGAGGACCGGTGGTGCAGTGATTAAGCACTTGGCTGCTAACCGAGGTCGGCAGTTTGAACCCACCAGCCGCTCCGCAGGAGAAAGATGCGGCAGTCTGCTTCCATAAAGATTTACAGCCTTGGAAACTCTATGGGGGCAGCTCTACCCTGTCCTATAGTGTCGCTGTGAGTTGGAACTGACTCGATGGCAATGAGTTTTAAGTTGAAAAAAGCAGAGAACACAACACAAATAAGAACAGTGCAACCAAGCGGACCGTCCATGCTACAAAATTTTGATTACCAAGTGGCCGGCCAGCTGCAAACTCTCAGAAACTGACCTTGAAGTTTTTGTGCTCGACACAACCAAGAGCGAACTACATTCATACCGTATATTTTAAATACTGGTATATGCCTTCATCTTAATTCCTTACATTTTAATATGCGCCTCTGAGGTGAGGACCCATGTATAACATGAAAACTGGTGACTTTATAAAAACGGAGAAAGAGCACTTCTTTCATAATTGCTAACTGTCCTCTGGAATCAGAATATCATCAATGAGCCGGTTTCTGGATTTATATTTTATTTTCAATGGTACGGATTTTCATTTGTTGGGTCAGGAGGAGTGGAGTTCCCACATACAGAAGATAAAAGAAACCTCCTCAGTGGCTTAACGAGGTGGATAAATAAGCTCAGGTGAGGGGTTGAATCCATCTTGTTCATATTGTGGTCAGCGCACCGTTATCACTCCTTCTCACCGGCACAACAATATTTTGAATACTGTATCAAAGTTTAAGAATTTTAAAGGATCCAATACAACTAGACGGTGGCTGGCTACCACCACTGACTGCTCTGACCGGGATCACAACAGAGGGTTCTGGACAGAGCTGGAGAAGGATGTAGAACAAAATTCTAACACACAAAAAAAGACTAGATTTACTGGCTGACAGAGACTGGAGAAACTTGAGAGTATGGCTCCTGGACACCCTTTTAGCTCAGCGGTAAAGTCACTTCCGAGGTTCACCGTTCAGCCGGGGACTAGACAGCCCCATAAAACAAAATGGGACTAATGAGGCACAGCAGTTCAGGGACAAGGACTAGAAAGCAGAAGGGGACAGGAAAGCTGGTGATAGGGAACCCAAAGTTGAGTAAGGACAGTGTTGACATGTAGTGGGGTTCTTAACCATTGTCATAGGGCAATATGTGTACTAACTGTTTAATAAGAAACTATTTTGTTCTGTAAACCTTCATCTAAAGTGAGAATAGCAGCACCACTGGAAGAAGGTAATCGACGTCATTGAATTATATGTGTAAAAATTTTTGAAATGGTGTACCTTTGGCTATATATATTTTCACGGAAAAAAAAAAGGTCCTCCAAGACCAAGAAGGGAGCATGTTGACATCTCGGGTTGTTAACCAATGTCATAAAACAATATGTGTACTGACTGTATGAGAAAATATTTGTTCTGCAAACCTTCACCTAAAGTACAATTAAAAAAAAAAAGAATTTTAAAGGAAAGTAGTAGTGAAATCAGAGTCCCTGGTGGTGCAAAGAGTTAACGGGCTTGGCTGCTGACCGAAAGATTGGAGGTTCCAGTCCACACAGACGTGTCTCAAAAGAAAGGCCTGGTGATCTACTTCTGAAAAACCAGCCACTGAAAACCCCGTGGAGCACAGTTCCACTCTGACAGGAGACAGAGTCTACTTGACCGCAACGTGTTTTCACTAGTGAAACCAATTAGCAAATATCAATATATTTGAACCTTTCTCCAACTGCATGTACCCTATACTTCTGATCCTTGGAAAAGATAAAACAAGGGGGGAAGGAAACCCAAGAAGGGAACCTGGCATGGAAAATTGCTATTCTGTCCCATATGGGTTTGTAACTTTCCTGTATTCCATGTGGGAGAATTTTATGACATCACACACACAAGGACGCACTATATAATTCTTTTGGGATTTTGCTTTATTGCTTAGAAAGCGTGAGTGAAATATGGGGGAGAGGTCAAATACGTGTGGGTAAGACTCTAAGGAAGCACATAACATGAATGTCACGAAGCTGTAGGACTTGTTCTCACCTGACCATAATCTGTCCGGAAGACGACAACGCCCTCTGCACAGGAATTTACAGTACTTGGAAAATGCTGGCCGTTTTCTCTCAGCCAGACCCGTGTTCCCTGTAAACAAAACAAACAGCATTTAACTATGAGTTTCGGATTGCAGAAAAACACCACCCCTGAAGTTACCTTGACCACTACATTCCTTTAAAAAGGAAAAAAAAAAAAAAAAACCTTTTTGAAAAGCGAACGTCTTTCTTGAACAAGGCAAAGAAAGAAACTTCAGAAAGCATCATCCTCAACCTTCCCTGGTGGCGTAGTGGTTAAGAGCTTGGCTGCTAAGCAAAAGGTTGGCAGTTTGAATCCACCAGGCGCTCCTTGGAAACGCTACGGGGTGGTTCTACTCTGTCCTACAGGGTCACTATGAGTCGGAATCAACTTGAGGGCAACAGGTTTTTTTTTTTCCCCACAACCTTCCCTGATATACACATGTGAATGAGCGAGAATCCCACCAGGCAGGAGGCAAACAATGGACGGACAGTAATGGTCCCTGTGCAACTACTGGACAGACAGTGGTGGTGCAGTGGTAAAATTCTCGCTTTCCACGCAGGAGACTAGGGTTCAAATCTTCGCCAAGGCACCTCATGCACAGCCACCACCTGTCTGTCGGTAGAGGCTTGTGTGCTGCTGTGATGTTGAACAGGTTTCAGCTGAGCTTCCAGACTAAGACTATGAAGAAAGTCCTGGAAATCTACTTCTGAAAATTAAGTCAACGAAAACCCCACGGATCACAACAGTGATCTGTAATTGTTCATGGGGGTGGCGTGGGCAACGTTTCGTTCCAGTGTGCATACAGTCACCAAGAGTCAGGGGCTGACCCCACGGCAGCCAACAACATTAATAAGCATTACTAGTATGTAACTCATTCATTTGTGTGTTATCTCCCAAACACACAATGAGGCAGACACTATTATCACTCCCATTTTACAGATGGAGAAGTGGAGGTCGAGAGGTGAAGTAACTTGACCAAAATCACAAGACCAGGAGAGAACTCAACCCCAAGCAGTTGGGCTTCAGAAAGCACAAGCTGAACCCAGTCACTACATTCCTTCAACTTGCAAAGTTGAAAACCCCTTGGGATCTGCTGGCTCCCATCTTCATGCTGTCTTGCCACCCACCCACGTGGCAGGCATTCAGTCCACTCCACTAACTTCCTACTTGTACCAAATCCATGTATCAACTGGAATCTCCAAGGAAGGAAATAAAAGTTTCTAGCAAACATCACAACTCAATCCACCAGTATGAATTTGGCTAGGATTCACTAGACATCTAACGTTCTCCAAAGTTTGAGGTTTTAGTCCAAAAGACAGAAACTTCTAGATACTATTGTTTTAACTCTGGACATATTATTTTGGCATTAATTTCATTTGCATTTTTTATTTCCCCACTGGACAAATGAAATAATAATCATTATATTTAGCTTTTTGATGCTGAATATCGTCTTTTTTTGATTTCACAACATGAAAACCAAGTATTTCCAAAGATGGGTGATAAAAGTTTAAAGAAATTGCTGGGTGTTCACTAGCCATTCAAATTATAAACAATTATCTTTAAGATGTATGATGTATATCCGCATGATGGAACGCAACGCTTTAGTTGCATTTAGAAAGCATTAGTGTCTCATTAAACTATTTTCTACTCTGCTGAATAATTTCATTAATTCCAAAGAAAATGACAATAACTCATCCTCAGAAATCAGCATATTATTATAGAACAATTGACCTAAAATGATCACTTGAAATAACACTAAATCAGAGAAACACACTTAGACGGAACAATTTCTTTTTCTAGAATTTTCTACCTCCTTTCATTAGTCTAAGTTTTGTTTTGATTTGAAATGTTAAGCGAAATATTTGAAATATATTGATTACAGCACCTGAGTGGGGCCAACAGTTAACAAGTTTGGCTGCTAACCAAAAGGTTGGAGGTTCGAGTCCACTCAGAGGTTCCCTGAAAGAAAGGCCTGGAAATTTACTTCCAAAAGATCAGTCACTGAAAACTCAATGGAGCACAGCTCTACTCTAACTCACATGGGGTTGCCATGAGTTGGAATCGACTCGAGGGCTACTGGTTTTACAGTTCTCTTTAAGAGTTGGCAGCGAATATATGATATACAAGTAAACCCATCACTTCATTCAAGTTTAAATTGTGTTTATCAATACAAAAATAGTGGCTGCCGTTATTGGAGTGCCATGATGCATCAAGTTCATGTACTAAGAGCCTTGGCGACAGTATCTCTAATACAAACTCTCTGTAAGACAGGAATTATTACCCCAAGAGGAAACTGAAGCTCAGAGCACAAGTCAGTACTATACCAATGTTACACAGCTAGTAACTAAAACACGTCTCAAATGAGGACTTTCCAATTCCTAATCCCATGTGTTTCCACACATCACACTGACTACATTTGTCCCCCTAAAATAATTCATAAGTCAGTTAGTAAGGCGCCCCGCTGGTGCAGAGATTAAAGTGCTCAACTGCTAACAGAAAGGTCAGCAGATCAAACCCACCAGCAGCTCCACAGGAGAAAGATGTGGCAGTCTGCTTCCGTAAAGGTTACAGCTGCACAACATGATCAATGTAACTGATGTCTAAAAATTGTACACGTGGAAATTGTTTAATTGGCAAATACTGTGTTATATTTACTTTAAAAAATATATACATCTCAGCACAGAGGTCACCTTAAATGACCAGTAATCACATGCAACTATTTGCTCTCCCCCTAATTTTCCTTGGGGAGATACAAAAATATCTTCCGTTGAAGACAGCTACCAGGCCAACCGACTGGAAGAGATCCATATTTATGCCTATTCCCAAGAAAGGTGATCCAATCGAATGCGGAAATTATCGAACAATATCATTAGTATCACACGGAAGTAAAATTTTGCTGAAGATCATTCAAAAGTGGCTGCAGCAGCATATCAACAGGGAACTGCCAGAAATTGAGGCCAGATTCAGAAGAGGACATGGAACCAGGGACATCACTGCTGATGTCAGATGGATCCTCGCTGAAAGCAGAGAATACCAGAAGGATGTTTATTTGTGTTTTATTGACTATGCAAAGGCATTCAACTGCATGGATCATAACCAATTATGGATAAATTGCAAAGAATGGGAATTCCAGAACACTTAATTGTGCTCATAAGGAACCTGTACATAGATCAAGAGGCAGTCCTTCTAACAGAGCAAGGGGATACTGCATGGTTTAAAGCCAGGAAAGGCGTGTGTCAGGGTTGTATCCTTTCACCATACCTATTCAATCTGTCTGCTGAGCAAATAACCCAAGAAGCTGGACTATATGAAGAAGAACACAGCATCAGGATAGGAGGAAGGCTCATTAATAACTTGCGTTATACAGATGACATAACCTTGCTTGCTGAAAGTGAAGAGGACTTGAAGCACTCACTTACCGATGATGATCAAAGACCACAGCCTTCAGTATGGATTACACCTCAACGTAAAGAAAACAAAAATCCTCACAACTGGACCAATAAGCAACATCATGATAAACGGAGAAAAGACTGAAGTAGTAAAGGATTTCATTTTACTTTGATCCACAATCAACACCCATGGAAGCAGCAGTCAAGAAATCAAAAGATGCACCGCATTGGGCAAATCTGCTGCAAAAGACCTCTTTAAAGTGTTGAAAAGCAAAGATGTCACACCCTGAAGACTAAGGTGTGCCTGACCCAAGCCACGGTATTTTCAATCACGTCATATGCATGCAAAAGCTAGATAATGAATAAGGAAGATGGAAGAAGAATTGAAGCCTTTGAATTGTGGTGTTGGTGAAGAATATCGAATATACCATGGACTGCCAAAAGAAAGAACAAATCTTGTCTTGGAAGAAGTACAACCAGAATGCTCCTTAGAAGCAAGGATGGCGAGACTACGTCTTACATACTTTGGACAGTATGAGGAGGGATCAGTGGTATCAGGAGGGATCAGTCCCTGGAGGAGGACATCATGCTTGGTAAAGTACAAGGTCAGCAAAAAAGAGGAAGATCCTTAATGAGATGGACTGACACAGTAGCTGCAACAATGGGCTCAAGCATAACAAAGATTGTGGGCATGGCGCACGACCGGGCAGTGTTTCGTTCTGTTGTACACAGGGTCGCTATGAGTTGGAACTGACTCGCCAGCACCTAACAACAACATAAAAATCTGACGAGTTTTCATTCCCTTGGTAGCAACGATGACTTTAAAAATACTCCAGTCAGGAACTAAGATGTTTGCTGTTGTCACCGTTAATCGAGACCCCCAGTAGGTCAAACCTTGAGTTTTGATGAAAACATCTGGGGAAAGGAAACCCTAGGTCCCTGGAAGGAGAGGGGACCCAGAAACAGGGACAACATGCTCACAGGTTCTAGAAGCACTGCTCAAAGACCAAGGTGGTAGGAGGCTCCAGGTGGACACGGCACCAGCCCCTGCTCTCCTCTTGACCAGCCCATATTCCCGAAAGCTCAGACTCTTCTAGCACCCATATATTACAACCCAATGCGAGGCCCTTCCTGTTGGCATTCCCTGTCACCAGATTATAAGGATTTTAAATTTTTTACTCACAGTTTTTCAAATATCCCCCCACCCCCCGCAAAAAGAGGTTGAAATCCTCCACAATCAAGGTGGAAAACAGCATAAAAAATGAATATGAAGTGTTTCTATAAAAATCCTGCCTTTCTGCAACCCTCTTTGCTGAGTGGCATCTGGGGTCTTAAAAGCTAGCGAGTGGCCGTCTAAGATACATCAATTGGTCCCAACCCACCTGGAGCAAAGGTGAACGAAGAACACCAAAGACACAAGGAAAATATTAGCCCAAGAGACAGAAAGGGTCACATAAACCAGAGATTTCATAAGCCAGAGACCAGAAGAACTAGACGGTGCCTGGCTACCACCAATGACCACCCTGACAGGGAACACAACAGAGTCCCTGACGGAGGAGAAAAGTGGGGTGCAGAACTCAAATTCTAGTAAAAAGACCAGACTTAACGGTTTGACTGAGACTGGAGGGACCCTGGAAGACATGGCCCCTGGACTCTCTGTTAGCCCCAAACTAAACCATT